GGTATTCTTTCTATTAATTTAGTTTATAGGATCGCCGCTAAAATAAAAATTTATAATTGTCAGAGGTCACAGTAGATACATCGCTGGTTGATTTCTAGCTAGGGAACGATAAGTGAGCGAAACATTATGAATGAAACACCTGTAGGATTCCTGTTCGAGCTGCGGTCGACAACGGTCGTAAGTTCCTAAGCCTTCATCTCTAAATTCAATTTTGAAACTCGAGATTACTGTGTTCTTGAACTCTAAGAATTAATCAATGGCGCGACATTGTTAACTTCGAGAATGTCGCTCCAAAAGAGGCGGAACCGTGGAAGGAGAGTAACCTGCCTTCAGATGAAGGCAGCAGCTCTCCTTCTTTGTCTGAACTAGTTGAGTCGCCTTTGCCAGTGGCCAGTGGGAGTCTGGGAGATAAATAGAAAGATCTTGTTTGTGTCCCAGAAACACATGACTCACCATCATTAGTTCCACCTTTGGCGATTCCTGACTCAGCTTTGGGGAGATCAGTTGCTGCTGGTAGAGGGATCAGGGACTGGCCTTTCCACAGTTCCAGGAACAGTAACTTGATGGTTTTTGTTATGATAACGATGACATAGGTAGGTGAAAACACTCTTGGTTCAGAAACCTGAGATGATGAGATCTTAACTCCTGCCCAGAGATCAAACTCCCATAAAAGCAGGAGAAACTTCATAGAGCTTACCTAGGAGGGAGAAAGTCTTGCTCCATCCTATAATTCTACTCAACTGGGTCCAGCCTCCAGGACAGGAGAGTTATTAGCATTGATTAAATCTAAATATATATCAAATATATATATATAGAGTTATATACCTATCAAATCTAAAGATAGAAATGAAAACTCATTGGAAAATAAAGTTGAAACAAACTCCTTTAAAAAATGTCCCCCACCCAGGAATTAAAAATTGTTCAGTGGAACTGTTATAGTTTTACTAATAAGCTTAGCAATTTTAAATTAAATATTAACACCAGTAAACCGGAGAAAGTCAGTTGCGATCACGGCAAAAGCATGTGTTTTAAATTGCGTTCTCTAAAGTAACCGGTGAATCATTGTGAGCCAAACTTAATACTTATCATATCCACACCTAATACCTAAATATAATTTTCAGTGAATTCAGTCTGTTCCTGGAAAAACTCAACTGGCTTTCTCCCTCAGAGGTTTGTCAGTCTTTTTTTATATTTCTTTATTATTTTATTTGTTTATTTACCTATTTTTTTTCTTCTCTTAATTTTTGTTTATTTTCTTTTTGCACTTATTTCTTTGTTTTTTTCCTCTTTCTGAATTTATTTGTTGGTACTTGGTTGTTGTCTTGTTGACTTGTTATCTTTTTGACAAGCCAACCTTGTCCATGGTCTGACTGTCTGACATGGAAGAGTCCAGCTGCCTTACTGGCTCAGGCTTTGGCCCGCCCATCACGCTCGGAGCTGGAGAATTGAAAGATGGTGAATCTGGCAATGGTACTGGTCATGAGAAAGTGAATTTGCAAGTGGATGGTGATGATCTAATTAGTGATGCCATTTTTGTGGAGGAATCTGACTGTGAAAGCCTGATTGCAGCAACCCTGAACCCAATGCCCATGGCTATGGAGGCTTGTAGTTTTGGTAAAAAACGCAGAAATCGGGAAAAGAGCGGATCAACTAAGAGTCTTGGTGGTGGGAGGGCTAAGCGCCCAGCTCCAGCTGTGCACAGACAGCAAAATTTGTTTAATAGTGCTTCCAGTCAGGCCAATCTAGCAAATGTGAAACTACCAGTCAATGCCACTCTGCAAAGCGCAGGGAGTGGGTGAACCATCCTTGTTAAACCACAAGGTCCTAATTCCATGACTTTTCTAAAAGATCCAATTGGCCTGGCCAAAGGAATAAAAAACTCGCCTTTTGGTACAGTAAAGGATTTGATTGTGCGTCCTAACCCACGTCTCCAGCTGGTTGCACTTGAGTCTCCCTCATTCAGTGGATAAAACATTGCTAATTATTTAACTATTTCAGCAATTGGGAAGTGGGCTGTTCGCTGCTATCAGCCAGGTTCTGATATACGTGTGCATGGTGTTTTTGGACCAATTGAGCCTAATGTCAGCATGGAAGAAGTGATGGAACTGGCCTGTGCAGGAGATATTGTCATCTCTGATATAATTCGTCTGACTAGGTTTCACAATGGAAATCGTGAGCCATCAGCCACACTTAAGGTTATCTTTCAAGGTCAAACTCTGCCCAAAAGAGTAAAAATTGGATACGTTTCCTATCAGGTGAGACCATTTGTACCACCCGCACTGAGGTGCTACAGATGCCAAAGATTAAACCACCTTGCTGAAGGCTGTAATGCTCCCAGACGTTGCTTACTGTGCGCTGGGCCGCATGAACATACTGTGTGCACCTCAACTGAAAAACGTTGTGCAAATTGCAGTGGACCCCACGCTGCAAATTCTACAATGTGCCCATTTATCTCCAAGGCAACTGCTGTGGAAAAACTGCGGGCCACGGGACGCTCATATGCACAAGCTGTCAAGGAAGTGAACTCAAACACTCAGTGGAAAATCCCTAATCAGGCAGTGAATAGAGCTTCCCACCCTCAAGCATCAGTTGATGTCATATCAGATACCAGCTCCTCTGGGGTGGGCCTTTCCAACAGAGTGGTCACTGTGGATGTGCATCAATCTCAGGGCCCCTGCTCAGTTTTCAGTCCTACCCATGCCCCGCTGATGAGTGGAAATGAAGTCGACTCTGAGAGCCAACCAGCTTTCAAATCTGTCCGCAAAAATGGTTCGGATAAATGCAACAAGGAAAATAGCTCTNTGCATGCTGATGGCCGGTCCACGAAGTTGTCTTGTTGTTCACAGAGACTAAAACTTAACTCAATTTGATGTTCTGTACAAATGAGTGAAAGCTAAAAAATTATCGACTTTTTCTTAACCATTTACCCATGAAAAATATTTGAATCAGTAACGTATCCCGTGACATTGACTGTCATAACAGGTTACAATTTTCCTCTGAACGGAGCGTAGAAGCTATATCTATTGAGGAAGTGATCGCCTATATGACACTAAAATTAGTTTGCTCAGCGTGGTTCCTTCGAGATGTTATCTTTTTAATTTGTTGGGTGAAGCGGCACAAAAATCATAAAGGAAGTATAAATGTTGTCTGCCGCTTTTAACTTGTGAGCATGATGTTATTGAAGAAGCTAAATACACTAATTTATCGTGAGCAAATAATATTTTATCGCAAGTGATAGCAATAAACTATTTTAACACTTTGAGTGCAATAGAACCCTGTTCTGCCGGTGGTCCCATCGCACTCAAATTGTCGAGAGTTATAATAATGATAATAATAGCGGTTTCAGCGTTCATTAGGCCGTAGGCCTGTCGCCGATTCTTAACATCGCAGAACAATCACAGCATTTTGCGGTCTTGAACTCGCAACTCGCTGCTACAATTCTGCTGTGCTTAACCGCCTGGCCTCCTTGCCGATTCTGACCAGAAACCGACGCACAGAGCTGGGATCGAACCCGCGCCTCTCTGCGCCAATCTTGGTACTACTCTGAACTGTAACCACTGGGCCACCTTGCCTTCATCTTTTCAGATTTTTATCCTACAGTACGTCTCTGATACGGACACGTGAGCCATTGAACCGGCACACATCATATTCTGACTAGCGTGTACAAGCGAGGCATAGGATTAATGTAATAGCACAGCGGCCTCGAATTTTCATATTCGTCCAGACGCTCGAGCTGTAAATGCTCGGTCTCATCCAGGCCGAAAGCAGTGACATGTAAACTGTGTGAGGGTTTGCATTTCATTCAACTGAGAACTGTTTAATGCTCAGGCGCGGTGACAAAGTTTTGACGTGATGGAACTGGTCACCGAAACATTTTAAATATGCATATGGTGTATTTGTTTGCTATTGTGGGCGTTTTAATTGTTGGTCAAAATGCAATTTAAGCGAACTAGCGCTATATATTTCCATAAATGTGTCGAGTACAAATTATAATTAAAATTAAAATTTCGATTTATCCACGGAAATTAAAAACATTTGCTAACATATCGCTTAAGTTTAATTTGATGCGATAAGAGAACATTATTCTTGGGATTCTTAAATGAAACACTTTATCATCAATCGAAGTACTTTATTTATAAAATTCGATGCATTAAAATATTTTCTGGAGCTGAGAATAAGGGATTGTAAATGAAGTATGTAATAAAAATCAGCATTATAACGCTACCAAACACTGGTGCATTAC